AAAAAAAAAAAAAAAACAAACAAAAAACAAAAACAAAAAAAAAAAAAAACCATATATATATATATACATATATATATGGCATTGATATAGTATATTTATTGTGATTGATGAACCAATATTGATATATATTATTGCTGTATTACATGTGGTATTATATTATTAAAGTTCATAGTTTAATTAAGGTTCATTCTTTATGCCATACAGTTCTACGGGTTTTGAGAAATTCATAAGTCATGTAACAGCTATTACAGTATTACACAAAATAGTTTTTCTACCCTAAAAATTGCCTGTTCTCCACCTGCTCTTTCCTCACTTCTCCCAAACTCCTAAAAACTACCGATTTTTTTTTTCAGAATGTTGAAGTTGGAATTGCACAGTATTTTAGCCTTTTCACATTGACTTCTTTTGCTTAGAAATATAATTTTTGGATTATCCATTCCTTTTTTGATAGCTCATTTATTTTTATCACTGGATAATATTCCATTGTATGAATATACTATAGAAAGATTATCCATTCACTTATTGAAGAGCATGTTGGTTGCTGCCAACTTTGGGCAATTAAGCATAAAACTTCTATAAACATTTGTATTCAGGTTTTTGTGTAGACATGTTTTATCTCATTCACGTAAATACTAAAAAGGACAATTACTGGATTGTATAGTAAGAGCATGTTTAGCTTTTTAAGAAACTGCCATTGTCTTCCAAAGTTACTCTTTCATTTTGCACTCACATAAGCAATGAATGTGAGTCACGCTGCTAAACATTCTCACCAACATTCTCACCAGCATTTGTTGCTGTCAGTCTTTTGAACTTTGGCCATTTGAGTAGGTATGTTAAAATTCAGTTACAATATCACCCAGCCTCTGTCCTCCCATCATCCATTAGGTTATAATTACTAAGTGAAATTATGAAATATGTAAAATTTCTTTTTGGTCCCCATCCATTTTCACTTATTTGATAATTTTTTTTGCTTCCTACTTCTAGTATCTTTATTTTTACCATATAAGCTTTTGTTTGTATTTCCTTTGCCTATTCTGTGCTTTAAACACACACACACACACACACTGGCACACACACACACACCTTTTTCTTCTCAGAAAATATCATGCTAGACTACTAAGCTGTTAAATGTTTACTAAAGCATATGATGTAAAAAGATAATTTAAATCGAAGGGCTATTTGAAGTTCAATAAGATACCATTAGCATTAGAAATGTTTTCAGAATCTTCGAAATGTAGATATAATATTACAAGATAACAGGCAAAAAAAAAATAACTTAGGGTACAAGTCCTCAGCTGACTCTAGAGAATTTAGTGACATACAGCCACAGCTGACACGAAACATGGTTAATTCAGTTGTGCCCTTAACTTTAACCCCAAGCCTTTAAGTTCTTACTAACTTTATATGATCTCAAATATAATGATCAGTTATTTTTAGTCTTATAAGTAATTTTCAAAGGATGTGTTTTCACAACTGAATTTGTATACCTCTTTGCAATAATTACCATGTAGTAACAATACAATACATAAGAGGTGAATGGATGAATAAATTCTAAAGTCTATGTCTCTCAAAGGCATGAGTAATTCTCTGACTGTATCTGAACAATAGGGATTTAAAGATGAAATGAGAGTTCAGTGAGGTGGCTCATCCCTCTAATCACAGTACTTTGGGAGGTTGAGGGAGGAGGTTCACTTGAGTCCAGGAGTTCGAGACTAGCCTGGGCAACATAGTGAGCCCTCCTTTCTACTAAAGAAGAAGGAGAAGGAGAAAAAGAAGGAGAAGGAGAAGGAGAAGGAGGCAGAAGAAGAAGAAAAAGAAGAATGGCATCTGACTTTAGTGGAACATATAACCTTCATTTTATTTCATTTGCATTAGCTCTTTATTTTGAAGCATATCGTACACAATAATAATTATATCATAACATAAATGTAAGTATAATGTTTGATGAATTTTTGCATATGTGCATACACTATCTACACCAAGCACACCCTAATCCACAACATGTTCCATTGTTCCATTATGGTAAATATTGTTCCCTAGAGATGACCATCTTTCTAGTTTTTAATACCAGCTTTAAAACGCCTTGTCAATAATGTTCCAAAATCTAATTTTCTAAATTTACAGTCTAATCCACAATGCAAGAAATGCACAAAATCTTCAGTAATGTATGACAATTCTAGCTGTTCCACATCTTTGACAATGCTTGCCATTTTTAGACTTTGACTATTGTTCTGGGCATGCAGTAATATCTAAGTATTAATTTAATTTAGTTTTTTCCTGATGACTAATGACACTGACCACCATTTTACATGTGTATTGGCCATTTAGATAGTTTCCTTTTTTAAAGTACCTACTCATGTATTTCATCCATTTTTAAGTGTATTTTTTATATTCTAGCATCCATTTGTGGGAGATTTTTGCATATTTGGATACAGGTAATTTGAAATGCTTTGGTTTGAAAATATTTTCTCCAAGCATGTGGTTTGTTTTTTCCACTTTAAAATAATGTTTAAATATAAATAGCATATCTTAATATAAGACACAATTTATTAATATGCATATTTTATGATTTATGCTTTTTTGTCAAATATACATTGAGAAACTTTTGGTTACCTCACATCTTACTCTCAATTTCTTTCTCATGTCTTTTCAGAAACTGTTCCATTTTTACAGACCATCCTAAATCAAAAGACAGTAGCTAATTTGAATATTTAATTCTCATTATTTCAAAAGAAAGCTACAAAATCACACATAAATGGGTTGAATGACATTGTGCTGCCTATTTTGCTTTGTTAGATCTTTTCTCAGTTGTGGGGCTGATGATCCTGTGATGCATTTTCTCTAGACCAGGTTATAGCTTTTCCTTGGAAGGAAATGTATTCTGAAGGTATTCTTTTAATTTAAGCACAAATCAATACAATCTAACAACTAGAGATGTAACAGTATGATAAAATTGCATTATACTAGAAGCATTAGTTTCTCTAAATGGTTATATTAATTGTTCTTCTCTGACATAGACAGTCTTTCTTCAGACTATGATGCTATTTATCACTTAGGGAGTAAAAAGTTTTCATGTGAAATTCTGTCAAACTCAGTAAAAGTAACCAGTACAGTTCCGCAATGGAGACATTAAGATATTTGTACCAAGATCTATCTATTGTGAAACTGCAACATCTCACTGGAATTGAATAAAATAACTGGTCATAGTATCTGACTAAGCAAATCCATCTATATATTCAGTAAACAAGTCAGAGTTTTTCAAATGCTTACGAATTTTAAAAAATGTTAAAATATTGGCTTTTCATTATTGACTAGTTGTTTTTACATGGATAAAGCTAAATTAGAAATTGCTATGTTCAAGATTCTACAACAGAGTGTTTACAAATGAAAATAAATAGAGGTGGTCCTTTGGCTGTGATAATTAAACTCCTCAGACACACATGACCAGAGCCTTCAAGATACTTATGTGACAACACACAAGAAGAGAAGTACAAAATGAATGGGATGGTGAGCATGGGGAAGTAGAATGCCTGATATTCAGGAAAACTGGGTTCTGGTCTGGGCTCTCCCTCTCATGCCATTTTTGATCCTTAGCAAATGATTTCACTTTTTGGAGTTTTTTTTCCCATTCAAGATGGTAATAGGGTAAGCACTGGGAAACCTTTATAGTAGTACCCCTGCATGCTCCACAGTTCTTTTATATTATTTTCCTGGTATTTTTGAATTTGCTTGACTGTTTCAGTACTGAAATATATTACATATTACATAGTATTTACTTATTACATATTACATGTGAAAAATGTTACATATTTTTCATAGGCACATACTGTTTGAAATAGCAACACAAAAAGTTCTATGTTTGCTTGTTGAAGGTTAAAAGACTTGGCTAGAGTGTTTAAAGCTGAAGGTCAGTCACAGCCTTAACATTAATTACTTCACAAGTGATGGCAGTGATTTCTGTATTTCCTTTGTGTATTGCAAAATATTTAAGGTGCTGATAATATGAAAGAACAATTTCATGTCACACCACGATGGATCAGGAATAAAACATAATAGAAAGTCACAAAAAGTTCATTTTCAATTTATATTCCCATATATGCTTTGTTTTATCACTGCTTTTCTAACCATTAAAAGGGCCAAATAAACACACATTTTGAACAAATGATAGAAGTACATGCTCTTCATGTTGGTCTCCATTTAGATACTAAAGTTTATAAAGTTAATATTTCAGGGCTGAATTTAAGCACAGACATTATCTAACTGAGAGCACTGTAATGAAAAAAATATGGTCAATATGGTTCAGTGTTCCAAAGAAAAAAGCTTCTTTTCAGTTGAGTGTTACAGTTTTCATTTGTGCACATGTACAGTTTATCTTTGGACACATGGATCTGGGCTGAGCAAATGCACTCATACTCAGATTTTGTTCTACCTTTGCCACTCCTGAGACAGCAAGACCAACGCCCCGCTTATTCCTCCTCTTCAGCCTATTCAATGTGAAGACAATGAAGATAAAGACGTTTATGATGAGCAGCTTCCACTTAACAAACAGCAAAAATAAATTCTCTTCCTTATCATTTTAATAACATTTTCTTTTCTCTTGTTTACTTTATTGTAAGAATACAATATATAATGCATATAAAGTACAAAGTATGTGTTAGTCAACTGTTTATGTTATCATTGAGGCTTCCAGTCAACAGTCGGCTACCAGTAGTAAGGTTTCTGGAGCATCAAAAGTTATATGTGGATTTTCAACTTCATGGGGGAATCAGTACCCTTAACTCCTAAGTCATACATTATTTGAGGTCAACTGTGACCTTTGAATACAGATGTACACATGCACACACATACATACAGCCATATAGATAGGTGCATGTATATACAAAATTCATTATATATAATATACCATATATGTATAGTAGCTGTTTGTCCTTTTTTTATTGGGTATAATTACAAATAACCACTTTGCCATTTTGAGTCAAGCATAAAATAAAAGCCATGTATTTGCTTTAAGTTAGCATTATTTATTGGAAAAGAAACAGAGAAACCCCACAGCTAGAAAGGTACATGTAAGACACATCCAGAGACATGAAGCAACGAATTGTGGAATGATAGATATTCTTAAAACTCTTAGATGCTAACTGCTCTTTATCTTGGCTTGATCCAGGGTGACCTTGTTTGTTTGTTATTGCAGTCAATATTGCAGTTGGGTGACCTTCTCATGGCCTCTCATGTTTGATTGTCAGGGAAGGATTTCAATAATATCCAGAGAATCCATATCCTGCATAGCATGAGGGGCGGCAGCAGCGGTATCCATAGCCTCCGAAGCCAGAGCCATATCCGTAGCCTTCACAGCCACAGCCATAGCCCACTCTGCGGAAGCTGCCACATCCACAGCCATAGCCACAGCCCAGGCCACCGAAGCCTCCACAGCCATAGCCCAGGCCACCGAAGCCTCCACAGCCATAGCCCAGGCCTCCGTAGTAGTTGCCGTAGTAGCTCATAGTGTCAGGAGTGGTGAGTTGGTTTGCTGCTCAAGGCAATATCCTGAGTGTGAATGCCAGCCCGCGTAGAGGGAGGCTTATATACCCTGGTCAGAGCATGTGATGAGTCACCTGCATACCGTACTTTGCTGCAGTTATTTGCATTGCGTTTGATGTTACAACTCATATATCTGTTGTCCCCCGATGCAGAGAGAGGCCCTCATTCTCATTAAAATATTTCAGCTTACTTAATGTCTTATTCAGGACATGCTTGAACTTACATGCTTTGCTTTTATGAGAAGAAATGGCTGACTGTTCAAAATATGCACATTCCAAATGATAAACTGAATTGCCGATTACCAGGTATATTATATCACCTACACTTTATGGTATTCCTTTTGTAATTGATCATTTCCTTTGTCTGTGATCTTTCAAACTGATAAGTTTATATTCAACTAAGTTTACCGTTATTTTTTTCAATGTAAAGATGTTGAATCTGTATTTTTAAAAAGAAAACATTTATCAAGGCGAGGTCTTCAGAAAGTGCCTATATTCACAATACATGAAAACATTTGAAATCAAAATGACTTTAATGCCCTGTTGTGTACAGTAGCTGAAGGACTCAGAAAAAGGGAGCATATGTTGATTTTTGGCATTTTATTCACAATTACTTTTATACTATTTATGGCTTTGCAAACTAGCTTCAGAACCTTTCGGTTGCAATATATGTAAAAATTAATTTTAGAAATTGAGGGCACAAAATCCAGCTCCTATGCAGGCTTATCGGAGTAGCAGTTCAGTTCTCCATTCAAATCCCCAAACTCTGCTTTATAATTGGTTTTATTCAAAGTCTGACTAAACTGCAGATTGCATCTGCCTCTGTTCTTGCATACTCTAGCCAATTACTTTCTTTATCCTTTTTCAGTAGTGTATATATGACCTCAATTTTCATTCTCATTTCACCTTTCATTCTTCTTCCCATTTTCTCAGTGTCTATGGGAACAGCCAGGTAACAGTTTATTGCTTACATTTCCCCTACTCTCTTCTGTCTTCTACTCACTTATTTCAATCAATGATTGTTTTTCCTACCTCTTCTTCGTATTCACTATTACCGCTTTCCTGATGTTCTTCTATGTCTATTCTGTACTCACTTATTCTGAGGTAATTTCTAACCACTGTCTACTGATCTGTTAATAGTTCATTATAGCATCATTTTTAAAACTTTCTACTTTTTGTACTTACTAACCACCCCCAACTCCCCACCCCAGCAAAAATACTTAGAAATAATGAATAAGACCTCCTAATAGATAGCATAATAAGGTGACTATAGTCAATGACAATGTAAATGTACGTTTTAAAATCTTTTGAGTATAATTGGACTGTTTGTAACTCAAAGGAAAAATACTTGAGGGATTGGATTTTTAAAAATTTACTCCAACTCCTGTGACTTTCTGAAATATTAAAAGAGTATCCTAAAACTGAAATTGTCTTCAAAGTTTTTGAAATAAAGGCACCATGGTGAAATGACACAGATTTGAGAAACATATGTAAGGAAATTTGACATGGGCTTCATAGAGCTCCTCAGCTGACCTCACTGAGTTAGTGAAACACACACAACATTGAGCCTACTCTTGATTCATTTCCACATAGCACCTGTCTCTTGGCTTGGGCAACTAAAAATTTATTTAATTTACATGGCTTTGAACATGGTGTTGAGATTTTGTGAGATTTATAAGTAATTTATCAAAGACAAATTTCCTGAAAGGGATGTTTCAGTTCTTCTAAGCAACAGACTAGGGAATTAAAAACTGTTTATTGAAGAAATTGTAAGTAAATTGACAGTAACTACTATAGCAACCACAATCTGTACATTACCCTGACTATACCTTAGTGAGCTGCCTTTTTAATACAGAAAAATGGCTCAATAAGTCTTTCAATTTATGGAGTAGGATTTAATCCAACATTTGCTACATTTCTTTTATCCAAATATTGGTTCATTCTTATTTCTCATCTGAACTTGAAACAGTCGATAAACTGAATTCTCAGTGAGTCCTTTTGTGGCCATAAAATCACAAATAACTCAGACTGTATTAAGGATATCACAGTTTGTTCATATAAATCAGCCTAATAATGTAAGAGTGTTTAATAGCTAATTTTTGTTTGGGATGCATAAAAGGTGCACACACCTGAAATATAAAACCAAACAAGATATGAATGGAAAACTTCAATAACAAAATAAAAATTTGAAAGTTTTAAAGAAATAGAGCATCTGATAATTTTCCACAAAACCAATTAATGATCATAAGCAGTAAATGATTAATACCAAAATTAAAATACTCTAAATATGTATATTGTTCTATATAAAACATATACAACAAATATTTTGTCTTTTTTCGAAGTGAACAAAGAGTAAAATGAAAATATCCATTGTAAAATGAAGACACATATTTATTTGCAGTGATATTGGTTTCATGCTCAAAGCAGATTAGACCCAAAGCAGATTAGACCCAAAGTTGATAGAACAATATTTTATATTTTCTCTTTCTTTTCACTTTTAGGAAGTTTACTTTGGAATATATGCTTAATAAACTTATGGTAATAGATAAAGAAAAGAAAATGTGTTCTTACTTGGGGTAAGTAGTAACTTTTACCTGGAAAGAAAGCTTTTTTTTTTTTTTATAAATTTCAAAGACTTCCTTTAACTCAGAGACAAAACAATAATATATGAAAATGTAGGTTACAAATATATGTTAATATTGAATTATACCAGCAATGTCACAAGTGCTTTTTCCTCATTCTAATTATATTGATATTTCTTTTAATTGCAAATTTTTAACGCTTTTACTCAGGCTTTGAGAATATTTACCTATATGAGAATAGAGCAGTTTTGTATGAAATTCAGTTATATGTCTCAAAATTCCTTTAATGAAGTTACCAAACTTTATTTACCTTGCCCTCCCCATGAAAGTACAGCATCTACAAAGATAACAAGATTTGTCTGAGTCGTTTGCTTATTTTTCATCTTCACATTGTATAAATGGAAGTATTTTTAATAAAAAGACAAAATATTGAGAATTGTTTATTTGTTCTGTTTTTCCAGTTAAGTAAAGCTAAGTTAGCAATTCATAAATGGATTACATATAACAAAAGTTAACAAGAAAAATTTTAAAAACAACAGCAACAAAACATAGTTAATCTAAGAGATGAAACTAATCACCATAAACTATGCTATAAAATTGAAACCATTCACAGTATTATTACAAAATGATGGCATTCAGATTTGGAAATATGCAGTGAAAGAGACTCAAAATGATGGACTAGAAAGCAAGGATTCAGGTGAACTGCTTTCTGGTCTTGGTTCTGACACTTAGATTGTAACTCTGGGCATCACTTAACTGTTCGGCATTTCCTCATCTGTACTATAGGGGGCAGCACGGTACAATCTATAATCTAATATTTGGTCCAGCTCTCATTTCTTTTGAATTTCACTAGCTCAGACAAACAAAAAAACAAACACTTGCGCCAATACCTGAATAAGCCACTCAATTTTGTAAAAAGCAACACTTTTTTTATCTTTTATATATTCTATTACATGAAATACCAATAATTAAATACTTGTTTTCATAGTTTTGGGTTTTATACATAAGTCTTAATCCATCTTGAGTTAATTTTTGTGTAAGATGTAAGGAAGGGGTCTAATTTCATTTTTCTGAACATGGCTATCCAGTTTTCCAAGTACCATTTATTAAATAGGGAATCATTTCCCTATTGCTTATTTTTGTCAAGTTTGTCAAAGATCAGATGGTTGTAGATGTGTGATGTTATTTCTGAGGTCTCTGTTTTGCTTCATTGGTGTATATATTTGTTTTGGTACCAGTACCATGCTGCTTTGGTGAATGTAGCCTTGTAGTATAGTTTGAAGTCAGGTACCATTATCCCTCCAGCTTTGTCCTTTTTGCTTAGGATTGTCTTGGCTATACAAGCTTTTTTTTGGTTCCATATGAAATTTAAAGTAGTTTTTTCTAATTTTGCTAACAAAGTCAATAATAGTTTGATGGGAATAGCATTGAATCTATAAATTACTTTGGGCAGTATGGCTATATCGATACTTTCTATAATGAGCATGGGATGTTTTTCCATTTCTTTGTGTCTTCTCTTATTCCTTGAGTAGTGGTTTGTAGTTTTCCTTGAAGAGGTCATTCAAGTCCCTTGCAAGTTGTATTCCTAGCTATTTTATTCTCTTTTTAGCAATTGTGAATGGGAGTTCTTTCATAATTTGGATCTCTGCTGGTCTGTTGTGGGTGTATAGGAAGTCTTGTAATTTTTGCATATCGATTTTGTATCCTGAGAACTTGCTAAAGTTGCTTATCAGCTTAAGGAGTTTTGGGGCTGAGACAATGGAGTTTTCTAAATATGGAACCATGTTATCTGCAAACAAAGACAATTTGACTTCCTCTCTTCCTATTTGAATAGGTTTTATGTCTTTCTCTTGCCTGATTGGTCTGGCCAGAACTTCCAATATCATGTCAAATAGGAACAGTGAGAAAGGGCATCCTTGTTTTGTGCCAATTTTCAAAAGGGATACTTCCAGCTTTTGCCCATTTAGTGTAATATTGGCTATGGGTTTCTCATAAATATCTCTTATTATTTTGAGATATGTTTCATCACTACCTAGTTTATTGAGAGTTTTTAACATGAAGGATGTTGAGTTTTATATACCCAAAGGATTATAAATTGTTCTATTATAAAGACACATGCACATATTTGTCCACTGTGGCACTGTTTGCAATAGCAAAGACTTGGAACCAACCTAAATGCTCATCAAGGATAGACTGGATAAAGAAAATGTGGCACATATACACCATTGAATACTATGCAGTCATAAAAAAAGATGAATTAGTGCACTTTGCAGGGACATGGATGAACATGGAAATCATCATTCTCAGCGAACTAACACAAGAACAGAAAACCAAACACTGCATGTTCTCACTCAAAAGTGGGTGTTGAATAATGAGAACACATGGACACAGAGAGGGGAACATCACACACTGGGATCTGTTGG